CAGACGATGTTATATTTTTGAATTGAAAAGAAGTAATATCTATCACAACTGAAAATACGGTTAGTCGTTCGTTTTAGCTTATGCAGTTATCACATCAGAGCTCATCATCAAGGCAGATAATGTTCTTCCTTTGTTGTTATTCAAAGCTAAGTCCGCTTATAATGCATCGTATTTTACGTCCATGTCCAGTGAATATGACAACTACTCACGAACTCCTACAGTAAACAAAGTACAGCCTAGTATATGCTTTTTAAGAACTAGACAGAAACTGACATTTTTCGTCAATCCTGACACAGTCAGCTAGGGAGGCAGCATTATCTTTGAAATGACAGATCTGATTTGACATTCAACGTAGGACCATCTTTTTTAAGGGAGAAGCTCGGACCAAAAGACCAAAGTGACAAACAATCAACCAGCTAAATTAGCCATCGACCATTTCAATTTCTTTCCATTGCTGAAGCTTTCCATAAAATTACCTACCTTCGGAATTACCTGACAATTTTCAGCACTGGACTAAAACAAACGCCTATGGAATCCTTGATTGGCGAAAGTAAGACTTGGGTTGCCTAATCGGTTGAGCATCATACTCAAAATTGAGAGCTGCCGGATTCAAGCTACGGTGGGGTCACTCGCGTTTCTTCCTTGTGAGGCAGATAGATTAGTACTAGTCGGTGGGAAAGAAACAGGAGACCGTACTCCATGCTTTCCATATAGCTATAAATGTTTCTTTGAAAAAACAAGACACACCTGACTGATATGACGGCATAAAAACGGAGATGACATCGTTCCGTAAGCTTAATGAATAAAGGGCATCACACATGACCGCCAATCATGAAAGTGTAAGAGTTTAAAGGAGACCTACATCCCAGCTGTTACAAATTTCCCTTTTCTTCCTCTACAGTTTTAACGCTCCCAATTATCCAACATTCACTCCTCAATCTTGGAAAGCAGGCAACGATCAAAGATTCCACTGATCACAAAATAGAGCGAAATACCCAGTGTGCAACATGCGGTAGCGGTAAAAACTTTTCTTGAACTCTGAAATGATTCACCAACGTGGCTCAGAGTAACCGGGTTGACAGAGGTTGTTGCCGTTTTAATGATTTATGTCTTTGAGCAGGATATTGTGATCACATACGGGAACGGAGAGATTGAGGCAGTCCCCTATAGCATCCTGCACACAGGTATGATTAGTCCTTTTCGCGGATACAACCCTGTCCATAGAAAGAAGAAAGAAATTTCATGAAAGTTCGTTTTCACCTTCTGCACTGAAAGTTATGTCTACTGATGCAACTATATCCGCATAATGTGTTACTCATAGTTGTTTTGCCACGGTTATTCAACACTAACAAACCTTGGCACCGGAGCAGCCTGATTTCTCGGCTTACCGTTAGACGTTGTATCTTAGATTGACACGATACAGCGTTTATCGCTGTAGGAAGGGTCATGTTTCTCGCAATGACGAGATTTGCTACAACGGGACGGGTTGCGATTGCGACGACATGTTTTCCGGCTTTGCATTTTCTTCGACTGCTTGTGTGATTGGTCGACGGTTCAGAGAAGAGAATCTTCGTACATGTTTCCGTTATCTCTGGGGACCATTTTGTCAAACCAAACCAGGTGCCAGTCTCCTCTCAGTTTTTCTGAACATCTTTTCAGCTCTTTTTGATGAGTGATTATGAGAAAAAATTGATGTGCCTGAAAATGATATTAAGCACAGGTGATCTTTTTTCTCAGGCATCTAGCGGCAACAAGGTGCTTTGTAGTTTTTGTATTCTCCTCTTACACATACATGGCCGTTAGTTGTAGAAGGTCCTAATCGGTAGCATATTTGAACGCATTTCCATAATTACTTTGGGCCGCCGTTTTGCGCACACCACTGGTTGTCACCGCTATCCGTTTAGAAACCTGATAGCATCATCGCGTTTTGAGGATTCCTCGATACAGCGTACTAGTAGAGATGAGGTTCGTCATATTTACAGTCTGAGAGTCGGCTCAGAGCATAGGACTGCTTGGAGATGGTAATTTTCGTGTGCAGTTATACAGAATTGTTGTAAACAATAAGTAATGCAGTTGCTCTGCTATCATGCACTGCTGCAATAATTTGCTATTGCGGTAGGAAGAGCGCATGGTGTGCATGTTAGATTTCAGACGATGGTGGAGTTGACTTACGATAACCTCCTCAAAGTTGAAGAATGAATTTGCATACATCTACTAGCAACGATTGTTGATAACGGAGTATCAAGTTGAATCGGCCATTTAAATGCTTGTCTCTGCGCTACCACCTAAGTCTGAGCGATCCTCTGAAACGTCAAGAACTCGCCTGAGTATCGAATACCAAATATGATGTGGTGATATGTGACAAAACGTCTCTCGAAACTTCCGGATGGACGCAGTATCCATGTGCAGAGGTAAGTAAACCAGGATTCAGTTGCCAGTTCAACGGTTCGAACGCTACTCTGATAACGGCCCTTAAAATTCCTACCATAAAGTTGAACGACGGTTCACAATTATTTGCTGAAAACTGTGAACCACTAAACGCAGTGATGCATCAACATGCCCTAGTGACTGAACTTCTAGTAAATGCGTAATCGTTTCACTTGCCCCACTTTTCCAACTAAATTCGTGACCTATAAAACGTCACTGGAATGGCCACAATCCAGAAACGTTTAACGAAGTAGTTATAAACCGAAAATTATTCTTTGCAAAATGATTAAGACATCTTTCTTCATCATTTGCCAATTTACTTGTT